AGAAGTAGAGTTACAATAATAATAATAGTTTTTGATGTCATGGAAGAATAATAAGTGTGGCGAGCCACGCTTCGTCATAAATGGGCTGGCTCGACCGGAGTGATGGCAAGGCGTCACAGTTAACATTTCACGACGCATTATACATCATCATCATCATCAACAGCCGGAAGACGTCCACTGCTGGACAAAGGCCTCCCCCTTAGTCCTCCACGTCGAACGACAACTCGCCACCCGCATCCACTGGCTCCCCGCAATTCTGGCGATGTCGTCGGTCCACCTAGCAGGACGCATGATACGCCCGTGGCATATGCGATTGTTTGCGGCTTCCGCGGCCGCGGTACCGCAGTCGCGGACGGTTGCACCTGCGCGCTCTGCGATTGATTGGCGGGCGATCGCAATAGCAGGACAAGTCTGGTTTGCTTATCAGCCCGTCTTATTATTGGGCGATAATCACAACAACGGCGGTTGCATGTCCGCAAAAAACTGCGGTCTCATGACTTTTGATAGTAAATTTCCATTCAGCCACAGCGGTTACAGGTAAAAATCGCGTCGTGAGTCCGTATCGTTAGATCGAATTTTCAAACGAAAGATTTCAAAATTGGAAAATTCTACGCAACAATAAGTGCTCTATTGATGAATGACCGCGCAAATAATTTGCAAATCACCATGGCACTTATCATTCCTTCACACAATAATAGATAATTGTCATTAAATTTGATGTATAGGTATGATTATGTAGATAATTAAGTCGCAACTTACTAAGCCATTCGATTAACAGCTATCTTTTTCAATTAATTCAAATGGTACCAGAGAAGAATCCGTGCAGCTGTTGTTTGCGCCGTGCAATTGAGCAGGTCACGGTTCTAATTTAACCTAATTTACCATCTTGAAATGTGCATTTTGTAATGTGCACCTCTGTCTCCGGGGATAAAAGGCATGATGTTATGTCATGCCGATACGGAGCCGCACAGTACTTATGTAACAAGTTACCGGGGTGCAGGAGTAGAAACGGGGTGGTTTTTAGTCAGTAAGAGTCTGATACTCCCTCTCGCCTAAACCGGGCGGGGGAAGTCATTCGATGATTTTCTCACCTAAATAAAAAAACTACTACATTTCTAATTTAATTTAAATATTGATAACATAAACATGACTTAACTATTTTTCATGTCCGTCTGATAATTTATATATAACACGTATTTTACCAAAATTAAAATCTTAATGACGATTAATTACGTTGATTTGAAATATAGCATGTCACTAATTACGTTGTGAGACGACTTAACAATGACTAAGGCTTTATGTTCATGACGTGTCATGTCACGAATGCATGCAACTTACAAAATTATGATAGCCATATTTGTATGCCGGGGAGAACCTAACGGGTAACCGGGGCTCCGGCTCGAAGTACAGAAGAAGGAACGGGGTGGTTTTTAGTCATTAAGAGTCTGACACTCCGTTCTACCTCACCCAGGCGGGAGAAGCCATTGGATGATTTTCACCCCTTAAAAAAGAAAGCCATATTTGTATGAGTGGACGCTCCGTGGACACAGTTTTGTTTCTACAAAATATATACAAAAAAATATCTCTTAGTGACAATATTGACGTAACTGCACAGTAGGCGTGGTGACTGGGCTACTGGCTGCGATGCGATGAGTACCGGGTTCGATTCCCGCACCCAGCAACTTTTTGTGTGAGCCACAAATTTTTGTTTCAGGTCTGGGTGTTATGTGTATATGGATTTGTATATTTGTAAATGCACCCACGACACAAAAGCCTTAGTACGAGTTTGATTTACGTTTAAAGTGTTCGAAACGGGTACGCGTTCGGCACTGTGATTGGCCGGCGCCAATGAAGCAACCAATCACAGCGCCGAACGAACTCGTACTAAGGCCTCAGGAGAAAAAAACTAGAATCTGGTAACGTTAATAAAAATATACTACTCTATTGGATTATATATAGACCCGTGTCCGACATAAGTTGTTATATAAGTAGAATTGTCTACAACAATATACTTTGTTTTCTTCCAGGAATTCTAATATTTGTGCAAACGATTTGTCATGTTAGGCGAAATATTATTATTTGGTATTTCAATACAGAAATTCTCAGTAGTAACATGAAGGATAGATGTTTACGCACGGGTAAACAATTGGCACATACCCACACTAATATTAAATAACTATTTGTGATCCGCAGTTTTACTCACAACCCTCATACTCGTCCGTTTGAGTAAAATTATAATCTAGGAATTATATAGCCGCCTTCTCAACTACCGAGGCAGCGAGTAAAGCGCAATAAGGTATCGTTGCTTTGGCAGGAGCTGAAAACAGCAGTTTTTAATCAATAAAGTCTGGCTCTGATTACGCCTCATGCAGGGTTCGAGCAGGCATTCGATGGTATTATCTCCCCTCAAGAAAAGCTTCATAACCATGTCTTCTTCTTTTTTTAAGGGGAGAAAATCATGGAATGACTGCTCTCGCCTGGTTGAGGCGGGAGGGAGTGTCAGACTTTTAATGACTAAAAACCACCCCGTTTCTTGTCCTGCACGTCGAGCCGGAGCCCCGGCAACCCGTTAGGTTCTCCGCGACTCCGAATCGGCATCCTTCGCGATGGCTGGGTTGCGAGGTGGAAGCGCTTCTCTGCTTCACGCGTCTCGCCTCCTCCTTAGATAGCATTCATAACTATGTCTAGATACAGAAATCATACACCATTCTTTAAGAAACTACGTTTGAACAACCCCGCTTTTTTTGAAGGCGGTTATTTCACATACTAAAGCCGCATCAAAATCGGGTCAGCCAATTGCGAGACAATTACGCATGAACATATATCTACATTCATACAGGTCAAACTGCGGACCTCCTATTTTGTGAAGTGTTAATAATCGCTTCATTACGACGTGAGAATAAACAAATAATCGTGGTGACAAATTCTCTTACCTAGTAAAGGAGGCTCATAGTCTATCAGTGAAGAGACACATGCTGTCGTTGATGATTTGTTATGGTTTGGAAATCACAAGATACTTTTATTTCTTTGTTTTTTCTGTTACTTACTTGTGATGCTGCGATGCAAATAAACTATTTGTTTTCCTTCAACATCAACAGCTTATAAGTGACCACTGCTGACCAACGCTGAAGATCACCACGAAGAAGGTTTGAGCATTAATCGTTAACCTTGCTCAATGTGGGTTGGCAATTTTTCAAACTTATAATTCGGAAACAGTCACATTGGTACTTGCCGTTGGTAGGTTTCGAGCCCGCACTCTCATCCATGAGAAGTGGGCGTCTTAAACCTCCGGGATACCACCACTTTACTCTTTTCTTCCATACTTACTTCTTTCTTTATTTTAATTGCGTACATAGTGTAGGACAAAAGCAGTTGTAGTTATAGGATCAAATTATTTTCGAAAAAGTAATAAATATTCGTTGAAAGGCCACATATTGCTTTTATTGACTAAATTCAAGTTTAGTTCAGTTTCGCGCTTGAATTGTAAATTTATGGTCATTTACGAGATTCAGAAGTTTTCAAATCTTCCGATAAGATCTGAGTTATGGAACATTTTTGTTGAACTCTTTTCGTGCTAAAAAATCTGAGATTATCATATTGTATTTTTCTCTGTTCCACACATTGCTTGGGCTGGAGGAGAGAAAGAGATGATATGTGATTTTAATTAATACTCTTTATTCAATTAATTTAGGATCAATAAATAATATATTACACAACTATTAACAATAAGTTGTTAATACATTTCTGTGTACTTAAAAATCATAGCTCCATCTACAGTTATCACTAAAATATTAATAAATATTTGTTTTATAAATAAACAAATCCACCTCAAGAGGCGTTTAATAAATAATCTTCTTTACTAACACGCATCAATTCTCTTTTAACTTTCTATATTTTAATTGTATCTTTACAAATTTCCATAGGTAGTTTGCTATCAATGATAATACTACAGAAAAGCCAATAATCACAGCTAATACTATTAATACTAATTCTAATTCAAGGTACTCTGCCCACGAGATGTTGGCTGCAGGTCCACGCAGATGTCTCGCGCTGCCGTGACGCAGCACGTGCTCCGTCCACCACACGGCGCGCTGTAGTGGAGGTTGAGGCTGGTCGAACATCACACTGCGAAGCTTGTAAACGTTCTGTCGATAGCTGAAAACAAACAAGGCTATTTAGTTGGGCTTTAGTGACGGAAACTTCAGCACAGTTAAACTGGGTTGGAGGTCACGGGGTCTCTGGATTGATTCGGTTTTTAAAAAAATCTCAGTCTGGAATTGTGCCCGGTATATGGCAGTAGATGCACCCCTATTACATGGGACTCATAACATAAATAGTGATACGTGGATATTACATTGTACACTTGTATAGTGGCATTAACTCGTCGAGTACCGGTTTTGTAGACACAATTATAGAACAATAGGTTGCGGTCACCGGTGACCGCGACCTATTGTTCTGTAATTGTGTCTATAATGCCGTCATTACTTGACGAGTTAAGTGCCGTAATGTGCAGTTCTGCCTACCCCTTAGGATATTAAAGGCTTGATTATTTTGAAATTGCGTTATTTTGAAAATAATGGCAATAATTTTAAATTGCAGCTGTTTTGTTAGTAGAATTATTGTTGTCAATAAATTTATTGATTACAACTACTGAGTCACTTAAAGGTTTATTAGTTTTTATAGAGGTAATATCAAAACACTTAGTCTTAATATGGAACTTAGTATAAGCTTTCTGTACACCAATAGTCTCTAGCTCCTGTTCTAAGTCACTCAAAACGTAACTAATAAAAAGTGTTCTATATGATTTAACTTCAATTATAGGGTTAGCACGGTTGCTAGGCAACCGGTCAAAGTCAACGTCAAAGACACTCTTTGTGTGATCCACAAATTGTTGTTTCAGATATGGGTGTCGTGTGTGTGATATTGTATGTTTGTAAATTTACCCACGATGCAGGAGTAAATCCTAGTGTGAGGCTAGGTTTGTTAAAAAAAAATAGAACTTACCTTTCATCATTAATAACAGTGCTTATAGCATTCTTGAATTCGACCTCATTCGTTGAAAGTAGATCGAGTTGTAGTCCAATTCCGTGATGAACATATTTTTCTACATTATACCATTGATCTCCTAACATAGGGAATCCTATCAGAGGTACTCCAGCAGTTATAGCCTCGTCTGTTGATTGTAGACCTCCTTGTGTTATGAATAGCTTGATTTTAGGATGCCCTGGAAGTTAAAGTAGTGTTAATTGATTATAAACTTTTTTTTTAAATCAGTCATAAAAGGATTGGCCACAGAAAGCTTTAGAAGAGACGAGTAGAAGGAGGGTACGAAGACAATGGCTAAAAGTAAATAAAATAAAAATAAATAATGCCTAAAGTTTTTAAAAAAGAAAAGTCACATAACATAACATAGCATCACGCCTTTTATCCCCTAAACGGTAGGCAGAGGGGCACATTACGGCATTTAATGCCACTGTACAATGTTGGTAACTAGGTTCACTATTTATGTTTTTTTTTAAGGGGGGAAAATCATCGAATGACTGCTTCTGCCTGGGTGTGGCGGTAGGGAGTGTCAGACTCTTACTGACTAAAAACCACCCCGTTCCTTCTCCTGCACGTCGAGCCGGAGCCCCGGTAACCCGTTAGGTTCTCTGCGACACTATTTATGTTATACGTGCCATGTAATAGGGGATGAGCTTATTGCTATATTCCGGGCACAATTACCGACCACTCGGCCAACAAGGCAGTCCTAAACAGAAAAGTCCTAGCTTCAAAATAACATATAACTAGCAACAAGAGAATTGTAATTTGACTTGTTACAATCGATTAGATAGAATGTTTAATGTATTGCCAGTCAAAATTGGGTTTTACCAATAATTACTCCAATTAAACATTTTCTTAAGGCAAACAGAAGAAGATAAAGTTTGGACAATATATGCGTGATCATGCTTGATAGGAAATAACCATTTGTTGCGCAATCTCAAGGTAGCTTGCGATAAGGAGAGACAACTGTACGATTAGCGCAGAGCGTGGATGACTGGCTATAGCACAACATGTTAATGACTTTCAACTTCGATTAGAGTGTAATAAAAAAGAAAATATAGTAGATTTCCGACTCGAGCAACAAATTACATCACAAAATGCTCATGATGAAAGGAGCTATCGATAAAACCTTACTGTCAATTCAAGCAAAATTATAGCACCACTTTTGGCTTTGAAGGTTAAAATTGAAATGAACATAATATAACATCACACTTTTAATCACCGAAGGGGTAGGCAGAGGTGCGCATTACGGCATTTAATGCCACTGTACAATGTAGGTAACTAGGTTCACTATTTATGTTATACGTGCCATGTAATAGGGGGTGAGCTTATTGCCATATTCCGGGCACAATTCCAGACTCTGTGCTACTACTGCGAATTGTTTAAAAACCCAGTTTTACTTTGCCCGACCCGGGAATCGAACCCGAGACCCCTTGCCCGGCAGTCGCACTTGCGACCACTCGGCCAACGAGGCAGCAGAGGCAGCAGGCAACGATGATTTTCCTTCCTTAAAAAAACCCTAGATCTTTGATGAGTAGGTCGATGTATTCTGATGAGTATGTGAAATTAGTGATATACAGACTTACAAGTGAAATGTAAATAAATCTGGTGCAAAGCCAAAAGGAGGTTGTAAATACTTACTTAGAAGATCAGACTGTGGCAGCCATTTTGATATCTTGATGTTCTTAGAGCGTCCTGGCAGTTCGTCCTTGTCCCACTTCCATAGCACATCGTAAGGCAGCTGAGAAAACACTTTGGCCATCATCTGAACTCTGTCTTGCGGTAGCAGTGAAGGTTGGACGTTTGTACCGAAGCTGATGTACACGACACCGTTCTTCGAAGAGTCTAAGTATCTTTTGAGATCCTGCAATAAATTTGAAATTTAGACTCTATGTCAACGAGATAAACAATAGTCTTACGGTACCTGTCGTAATTATTAATTTTTTGTTACTAGTTGCTTATTCGTTGCTCTAAACTTTTTAATATAATTTGTTTTGTTTAACTCTCTCAAAAGATAAAATACAATTGATAAATGGATAAGACGAGATTTTTATAAAGATACATTAAACAAATATCGACATTTCATAAGAATGAATTAAAATTTACTTAGTAGTTAATTTATATTTTGACTGCACGGTTGGCGCGGTGGCTGGGCAACCGGCTACCGTGCATCGTGTCACGGGTTCGATTCCTGCACGGAATAACTCTTTGTGTAATCCACAAATTGTTGTTTCGGGTCTGGGTGTCATGTTTATATGAACTTGTATGTTTGTGAACGCATCCACGACACAGGAGAAAATTCTAGTGTTTTTACCTAACGTTTTTATTTAATAAAAAAAAATTAATCGAAATGTTTTTCTCACGAAAAACAACTATAAACTATGTTTTCAGAAAATATAGAGTATACGCATTTTAAATTCATCGCCGATACTTTATTATGCAAATTAGAACTTACGACATATTGTACTAAATTTAAGCACCGAGCCACTGCGCCGTGCATTACCGTGCAGTTCACGTACACAAACACGCAATTTTGAAAATCTCGTAACTATGATACAAGTATGAAATTCCATTAAATTATAGTCGCAATACATCAACAGCCTATAAGTGGCCACTGCTTACCAAACCCTTTTCGCAAAAGGACACGGTTTTGAGCATTAATTATAATTAGAAATTATACTTCCAGATTTCTTTAGGATTGTAGTGGTGTTAGTTATTAAGTATCAGTGTATTGTAAGACAGTCAATAAATGACTCTTGAGCTGACTACACGCCTATTCATTTATCGCTCCGTTCCCGCCACATTACATGGCGACCCTGCCAAGCCCGGCTTGGTAGGTAGTAGCGCGAGTTTTGCAACGTAGCAGTTATTTCTACAAGCGGCCATGGATAGGACTGCATTAAGTGTAATCGCGGTGAAAAGACGTAACAGTCATATTGCGTGCGAAAGCATCGAAAGCTGTGGAGAATATTTTGATTCCATAAAATATATTAAAGATGGGGAAAAGTTACTCTAAAGACGAAGTTGTAATCGCACAAACAGCATCAGGCGGCTCGAATGGAGCATCAGCAGACAGACGTGAGCACACAATCCTTCTGTCATTCATCGTTGGAATTGTTGGCGTTTTGACGATCATTTTCCTCATCAAGATATGTGCAAAATATGGCCAGAGCATTATAAAAAGGGAGGTGAGACGCGAAATGGTGCGGCGTATCCAGGCAAGGTTGTCTGGCAGAGGAAATAGGAGACAGCAAGAAGGTGAAATCAGGAGTAATGAACAAGAAATGGTGTGAAGTGAAGTGAAGTGAAGTAAATAGTGCAGTGCTATAGGTTTAAGTGTCGCGTATTTCGTGCATTTTGGTTTAAGATAGGAAAAGTTTAGATTTAAAATAAATAAGATAAGATTATGAATATGATCCTTAATGGAAAGGTTAAGTATTATATATGAAGACATAAAAAAGTTATTTGAAAATATAAGAAAGTTAGGCCCTAAGAGGCGTGAAGAAAAGTTAGGAGAGCAGAAATTTGAACAGGCATTAGCATTATATAATGAGTATAAGTTAATTTTAAGGTCTCTTGATAAAGAGGAAGTTTGTACTGCAGCGTTATCTGGATATACATTCAATTTAGTTTGCGAAGGTATAGAGGAGTTTAATTCTAAAATTTTAAGATATAAGATAGATTCCCAGGAAGGAAATACAATGGAAAATTTTGAATTAAAAACCGCGAGTGTCCTCATACCAGTAATGGATGGTAAGGAAGAAACAACGGAAAAGATAATCGACGGCATAGAGATGTATGATAGTTGTTTAAAAACGAGTGACAATAAAAAACTGCTGATTTCTTTTGTCCTAAAAACCCGTCTAACAAAGTCAGCTAAATTGAAACTAAAATCTGAGTATGCAAGTGTTGACAATTTATTAGAGGATATGAAAACATATTTACTGACAAAAAAATCAGCCAATTCTTTGTTGTCACAAATAAATAATTTATCTCAACATAATAGGACCATTGCAGAATATGGAGCGAAGTTAGAAGAACTCTTTATAGGGCTTACTATAGCACAAGCCGATGGAAATGCAAAAGCAAGTGCAATATTAAGTCCTATAAATGAGAAGATGGTTATAAAAAGATTCGCAGATGGCCTGAGGAACCGGCGACTGAGCACAGTAATATCAGCTCGAGACTACAAGGAACTCAAGGATGCGGTACGCGCAGCAGAGGACGAGGAAGATGCGCGCCCTGGGACAGCAGGGCAGGATGCCGTGTATTCATATTCACGAGGTACGAATAAAAATCAATATTACAATGACCGTAGAGTTAACCGTAGTCGAGGATATTATAATCGTGGATATTATAATCGTGGCTGGTCCCAGCAACATTTTAGAGGAAACCAGATGCAGCCAAGGTATGCGATTGAGTCGCGTGGCAGTCGCGGCAAGGGTTTCAATGGTCGCGGCAGGAGTTTTCAGCGTGGTTACACATGGTCAAACAGAGGTAATTTAAGAAATAATACTAACAGGGGTGCCAGAGGTGCAAGGCGAGACATGTATTATACCTCAGAAGACGACAGTCAGAAGAATCAGGAGTCAATAGGTGAGCAGCATAACGAAAATTTAGAACAGTTTTTTCGAGTCTGATTACGCCTTAACTTGCAAAGGATTAGATTTCATCAACTTATATGTAGGGAATAGAATGTGTAAATTTCTATTAGATACTGGTGCTTCGATATCGATAATTAATAATCATATAGTTAAAAGTAGTACAGCTAGGTATAATGAAAGTACAATAATACATGGAATAGGTGGCAAAGTAGAATCAAAATGTTTCTCATACATTCCGTTACGGTCAGAGTCAGGTTTCGTATTCTATCACAAATTACGCTTATTCGACAACATGCCATGCGCAGCGGATGGTATTATCGGTCTAGACTTTCTGAGAACTTATAACGCAAACATAAACGTACCTACGAACCGACTTACATTACAATGTAATAATAGAACTTGTACATTATTAATAAATACTAGTTATATCAATAAAGTACAGTCGGATGATTATTTAACTGCTCCGGCACGTTGTGAATCAATACATTATGTTCACATAAATAAAAATATATACAAAGATTGTGTCATACACGCGAAGCAATTAGGTGAAAATATATTTATGGCAGCAAGTATTGTAAAACCAATAAGGGGCAAAATCCCTATAAAAATATTAAACACCGGAGAAAATTCAATAGATATACCTAAAATTGATTTGATAAGTAACGACGATTTAGACTATTTTGAAAATTATGATGTTTGTTCATTTAATAAATCAGAACAGGGTGTAGAACGCGTAAAAAAGTTACTACCACAATTAAAATTAACTCATTTAAATAACAATGACAGAAAACAAATTGAAATTATTTGCGCGAAGTATGCTGACATCTTTTTCTTAGAAGGCGATAAGTTAGGTACAGCGAATGTCGCTGAACAGTCGATCACAGTGAAACCGAATACCAATCCCGTGTATATAAAGCCTTATCGGCTACCGCAGTCGTTGAAATTAGAAATTAATAAACAAGTTCAAAAAATGCTCGATGAGGATATTATAGAACCTGCAAATAGCGAGTGGAATAGTCCAGTACTCTTGGTACCTAAAAAAACAGAGGGTGAAAAAAAATGGCGTTTAGTTGTTGATTACAGGAAGGTTAATGACTCGATACAGGATGATAAATTTCCACTACCAAACATAACCGAAATATTAGACTCGCTTTCCGGAAGTATTTATTTTACCCATTTAGACCTGCACCAAGGATTTTTCCAAGTCAGCACAAAACCCGAGTGTAGAAATATTACTAGCTTCAGTACAAGTACGGGACAGTATCAAATGAAACGCTTACCTATGGGGTTGAAAATCAGTCCTAGTGTTTTTTCCAGAGTAATGTCAGTAGCAATGTCAGGACTTACTTATGAGCAGTGTTTCGTATATTGCGATGACCTTATAGTCTTTGGCAGAAATCACGAAACTCACAATAAAAACTTGTTAGATGTATTTGAGCGACTCAGAAAAATGAACCTTAAACTTAACCCGCATAAGTGTGATTTCATGAAAACACAATTGTTATATTTAGGACATGTAGTGTCAGCTAGTGGTGTGTTACCCGACCCTAATAAGGTTGCAGTATTGCAAAATTATCCAGTACCAAGAAACGCGGATGAGGTCAGACGATTCGTGGCATTTTGTAATTATTACAGGAAATTTATACCTTCATTTTCAGAAATAACACTACCGTTAAATAAATTATGTCGAAAAAATCAACCATTTATTTGGAATAGTGAATGTCAAAAAAGTTTCGAAAATCTCAAAAGGCAATTAATTTCACCTACTATTTTACAATATCCGGATTTCTCTAAAGATAATACATTTGTCCTTCAGACAGACGCATCGGGTATAGCAATAGGATCTGTTTTATGTAACAAAGACATGAGGCCGGTAGCATATGCTAGTAGGCCACTAAATAAAGGAGAATTAAATTATCCCACTATTCAGAAAGAACTTTTGGCAATTGTTTGGAGTATAAAATATTTTAGACCGTATTTATATGGGAGAAAATTTACCGTAATGACCGATCATAAACCACTCATTTACTTATTTGGAATGAAGGATCCCTCTACAAGACTTTTAAAATTTAGACTACAATTAGAGGAATACGATTACAATGTTGTTTATATAAAAGGAAACGATAACGTAGTGGCAGATGCCTTGAGTAGGGTGACCATAAGTTCGGACGATTTAAAGTCATTAAATGAAAAAGTAACGATGGTAATGACTAGAGCACAAAAAGCTAAAATCGACCAGGAAAATAAAGAAAGCACAAGGTCTTCTAATATAACTGCAGAACCGAAGTTTGGCCAACCAAGATTCGCAGAGATATTAAGAAAGCCGAGTGACTATGTAGAATTAAAGTTTATAAAAAAAGATAAAATATCAAAAACATATATAACTTATGAAAAAGAATGTTTTGTTTATGTAGACGCAGAGAGAACTTTATATATAGACACCAATTATATGTCGCATTTTACGCGAGCCGAATTTGCGAATAAATTGAGTAGTTTTTGTAACGATATAAATATGAAAGAAATATGCATCAGTACATATAATTATATTATATTATAAGTACATATAATTTGGAAAAAGTCATATTGATACTTTCCTGTTGGAAAGTTTCGAACCAGTGCCTTTAGCCAAACGCCACTTTAGCGCTTGTCTACAGAGAGAGTAGAAATCAAAATGTATGGGGATGACACTGACAAGTGTCAATATTTACGTCAATTCCATATAATTTGGTTTTCTATTCTACGTAGACAAGCGCTAAATGGCATTTGACTACAGCTGCAGAACTCTCATATATGAGAGGCGGGCGTATTAAACCTCCGGGCCACCACGAAGTTTTAGTAATAGTAGAAATTTATAATAGTCACAAACTTACCGCCGGTAATTCCTTTTGAGGTTTCTGATGTAGTCCTCCCATGTAAATAACACTAGGAGGCACTGGACGATTCCCGTCCCATATTGGATGAGCATTCAAAAACAGCATATCAACATTATTCTTCAATTCACTCATCGATGGCACATCTGGTCCAAATAGTCGTTCAGCCATTTCATTCTCTGAATTTTCAACACCCTTTAGAATTTTTTCGATTCTATAAAAGTTCCACAATTCTTCAAGCTTTTCCCATTTTGATAAATTGAGTGAACGCTTAGTTAAAATCCCTGGGTAAAGCAACGGATGCCAGGCTGACCCAATAGTTTCTACGTTGAAATTCATAGGACCAAAGGACGACACTTGAATCACTGGAACCTTATACACATGTGATAACACCAACGCTGGCTTCGCACAAGCTTCTAACAGCAACAAATCAAACTTTTCCTCCTTCAAAATCTTCTGCACCACATCCAACTTCAACTGCATCTCAACGATATCCACTATTATAGAAAATGCTAACGTCATCTGCAGAATCAAATCATTATCACCAGTCGACGTCACTTTATAAAAAGACTTCCACATTTCATAGGAAAAATCATGAACGTCAATTTCTGTTAGATTAGCTGGAACTTCTCCCTTTGGGAATGCAGGATCTGGTGTTATAACAGTCACTTGGTGGCCTCTTCTAGCTAATTCTTGAGTATAAGGTCTGAAAACTACTTGATGGCTAATTGATGGTACAGGAAACATAGCCAGTATTCTAGCTGCGTCATTATACGCAATTGAGACTGATAGCAAGAACAAAGTGACTGCGGTAGACATGATTACACGCAAACGTTTCCAATTGCTATGAGATATTAATGAATGTGTTTCCTTATATATGATGCTGTTTAAGTACATGTGTCTACCTTTAACCTTGTGTGTAAAACGGTGTTCACATCAGGCCTGTTTTCCAGAGAATTCAACCAAAACCGTATGATTAGGTTATTAATGTGACATACCTAATTTAGCTTACCGGTTGGTCGTCCTGAAATATCTTTGACGTCTACTACTTACAATTTCATAAGCACTCAACGTAATGAGTAGGTACTTAAGAGTTTAGATGCAACTACGTGAGATGCTTTTGTCAGTGTTCAATCAAATTTTATTTTTGAGCTGTTAGAAATGACATAGAAATCATTCATTCATGATTTGCTTACAACGATGGTTGTTATAGAAACTTTAGATTTTATTAAACTTGTGTCTTTCGATGTATGAATCATAAATTCCTTCGAATTGAGTTTTAGTGCATTGACTTATCCAATTGTATGCAAATTATTACTTTTTGATTTTGTTATCAATTTCAAATACACATCACGTCCCGTTGTAAACCATCTACCTACTTGTATTATATAAGATGTTTCGAGTGCAATTGAATCAATGACCTGTATTACTCGTTCATCGACTGCACCAACAAAAAAATCTGACCCATCATTCACTTAAAATATTACATTCATACCTTTGAGTCGAGTCCTTTTACGGTTTTAATTAAGATGCCTCGGTTTTGATTACCAAATCAGGAATAACATTATTGATACTTGTCTTAATAACTTCGAATAATTGTTATGAATCTGAAATTGTGCAATTGCAATTTCAATAATGATCATATTGGGGATAATTTCATAACCTGGCAAAAAATCGGTTTGCGAAATGTTATGTCTGATAACTGGATTATACCAGATGTATGATAAAAGGCTTATAATAGTACAATCAATCCTATAACATAAATAAAACTATAACATTATGCTTTTTTAAACCTTCAGATCACTGCAGGTGGGGCCTAGCAGGGCTGATGCCCGGTAAGAAACCGCGGAGGACTTAATGGGTTGCCAGGGCTCCAGCTCAATGAGCAGGAGTAGGAACGGGGTGGTATATAATCAGTAAGAGTCTGACAATCCTTCTTGCCTCACCCAAGGCGGAAAAAGTCAATGAATGATATTCCCCCTTAAAAATACCTATAATGCTTAAGTGAAAAGAAATGACATAATATTTGATGCACCATCTACGTATGTCCAGAAAATTATAAGCCTCATGTAATATAAGTACAATTATAGTTCCCTTGCTAATATTCTCATTTTTTCAAATCACCAAAATATACATTAAAACTTAGCCAAATAAGGCAACAAGTAAGGAAACTTGGCTAGTGAGGCATTCGCTCATACCACAACTGGCAAAAATTACAATCACATTGAAAATATATGTACTTGTAATATAATTTTATTTTGAGCAGAAAATTATATTTTCTCAAAGACTAGTCAGATGAGAGAGAGTGTGTTAGACACTTCTGACTAAAAACCATTTCGTTCCAACTACTGCTTTGAGTCGGAACCCCGGTAACCCGTGACGTTGTTCACCACCAACACCGGAAAATATCTACCTCTGCTTATCTCTCTGTGTTGAATAAAAAGCGTGATTTTGTATGTATGTTTATTACTATCACGTCAAAATGGCTAAAAGTATCAGATTGGAATTTACAACAAGTATACCTGAATAATGTGGGATAACATGTAGGCTACATTTTTTTTAAATTTTCACAGAAACGCAAAGCAAAGGCAAAGCCGCTTGTAGAACCTAGTATGACAGTATGTGTGTTCCTTTGATTAATGAGATGAGGTCAGTGTTATAATTGATGACTTTACAGATTAAAAATATGTAATGTCAAATGGCGCGTCATTAAAGATCATCTTTTGCACTCAACCAACCCTTTACTAATTAAATATATGGAATTATGTTTGTTCTTTCGTTCGTATATTGCATACATTTTTGCTGTTCTATTTCACATTCGTAATAAATCGTAGAAACAGATCTAGATTTTGAGCCCTTAAACTCGAGTCAAACGAAAAGTCTGTATCCCGTACACAACTTTTCATACATACATTAGACAAATTATTATATCAAGTGTTTAAAACTAACTTTTATATTAAATTTAAATTAACTAAAAATTACTACAGCTCTTAGGGTTTCGAGTCACAGAGGGACTCTTCCTCATGACCAGTGGTGAAAAAAGAAAATTACCGCGACAATTTTCTTTTGTAAGTAAATCGTTATTCTAAGTTGATTTATTTATGTCTAAGGATAGTCTGTTATTATAACAATAAATGAAATTTGTGTGTCATGCATTTCATTATTAGAGTCTCTGATTTTGAAAATGTTTATAGGATATTGAAAATTTGCTAATGCACGTGAGCTCAAATGGTGCGTATTATAAACACACCCTATGAAATGAGTTTCCCGCCCGCGAGAAATAATAGGTGGCATGATTTTATGTACTTGTTGCCGGTCAACCATGATTTCAGGACAAACGAGTTTTGCTTAGGCTATCTGTTTGTGATAACGTTATACTATCCACCAGTATTGGGTTCTAATTGTATTGCTTGCTTTATTATTAGATGGTGAAGCCCCGCTGAGCGGGGCTCCTATTGCTGTTTGCACAGATTAAAATAATATAAAAAATGGTGTCATAACATGGTCATTAATTTTATGCATCATCATCGTCAGCTTGTGTTCGTCCACTGCTGGCCATACCCACGTAACTGAAGTCGATCTTCAGCTCATATTAATATGACGGTTCAATAATTTCAACTAATGCGAATTTATCTGACAATCCATCATCGATTCGTGTCACGATACCTAACTATCGGAGTGACGTTTATTTGTTTTGCTCATGCATTCACACAATTTTATTAATTTAATAGCAATGTTTATTTTACTGTGCCTCGTTGGCCGAGTGGTCGCAAGTGCGACTACCGGGCAAGGGGTCTCGGGTTCGATTCCCGGGTCGGGCAAAGTATTACTGGGTTTTTAAAAATTCTCAGTAGGAATATGGCAATAGGCTCACCCCCCATTACATGGGACTCATAACATAAATAGTGAAAAGTGGGTGTTACTTCTATGTGCACCTCTGCCTACCCCTTCGGGGATAAAAGGCGTGATGTTATGTTATGTTATGTTATGTTTATTTTATTGTTCAAGTTTGACCTAGTCTCATCTCTTACCCTATCAGGTATAGGATGAAAAGAGAAATTCTATTGTCCAGTATCAACTTGTTTAGTCTAGTCAACACTAATTTGTTCTGATATCAACAAAATGTGTGTGCGCACGTGAAGGAAACTTGAAATATTTTTAAATAGAATTTTAAATTTGTCTGGGATCTGGTTTATAATGTTAAAAATATATTTTTTTACATTTAAAATTTAATAAACTTACCAGAAATTGTCAGCGAGAGACAGAAAGAGTAATGAATCAACAAGATTTTCACACGGCAATTTTGTGTGATAACTTTGTAAATTAGTGTAAAAAACAATGATTACACATCAGTGCCCTCTATGATTATTATGGTAATTGTAGAGGGACGCGTTTTTGTGGGAATGATACATTTTTTACTAGAAGTTTGCCTACCATTGTGTCAAAATTTAGACAAAGGCCTGATTGGATCTTATTTGGTCCTTAAAATTAGAATCAGAAACTAAGATATGGGCAGGATCGTCCTTTACGTTTTTAGGAATACCTATAACAGTGACCTCGAATCATACCAAGCGTAGGGATCATAGTAATTCTTTATATTAAAGGGCCTCCTTATAGCTGATGATTATGTTGTTATCCTATTATTAGTAAGCCGGACATTTAGATTTTTTTTAAATACGTTGCCCTCTAGGATGGTATAGGACGAATCATTCGTTCGAACGTTCTCTCTCCTCTAGGATTTTTTCTTATGTCGTGGATGCGTTCACAAATAATACAAGTTCACATACACAATGAGACCCAAAACAACAATTTGTGGAACACGCAAAGAGTTGTTCCGAGCGGGAATTCAAATCGCTACGGGTTGCGCGGTAGCTTATTGCCCAGCTACCGCGCCGACCAATTAACTCGTCGAGTACCGTCATTATAGACACAATTATAGAACAATAGGTTGCGGTCACCGGTGACCGCTTGGTGTTTGACAGTTTAATAGTCTGTTGTACGGTAAATAAATGTTTTTTATTGTCTTTTATAATTGCATCACTGCCTAGTTGGCCGAGTGGTCGCAAGTGCGACTGGGCAAGGGATTTCGGGTTCGATTCCCGGGTCAGGCAAAGTATTACTGGGTTTTTAAAAATCTCAGTAGCAGTACGGAGTCTGGAAATGTGCCCGGTATATGGCAATAGGCTCACCCCCTATTACATGGGACTCATGACATAAATAGTGAAAAATGGGTGTTAATTGTAGAGGTATAGTGGCGTTAATTTCCGTAATGTGCACCTCTACCTACCCCTTCGGGAATAAAAGGCGTGATGTTATGTATGTGTCTTTTTTATTACATTGATAACATATGTGACGGTTATTGTTGTTTAAATAAGGTAAATAAAAGTAGCTGTCGTATGTAACTTCGTACCCCTATAAAAATGATTTTCTATAAAAAAGTATAGAATATGACCTTCAAACCCTGGAAATAAAGAATTCCAAAATTCAAATAATACACAAAATATTTCGTTTCCACTAGAAACGAAACCGATACTCTGCAATTCACAGTTGCAACAATTACTACCGCTGACTCTCATTCATTATAACAGTTCTTTATATTTCTTTTATTGATAGCCCTTTGACATTGACAACTTGTAAACAGTTTGAAGACAATAATGACACATCAAAATATCATGTATAAAGTCTTTTTTCCATCATCATCTTTATCTAGACATAGGTCTCTCCAATGACACGCCACTGAGCTCGATTTTAGCTCTTCTCATCCAACCACTGCCAGCGACCTTGCGGATTTCGTCACTCTACTTGGAGGGCGCCCTAAACTACCTACGTTTGCCTAGACGCGGTCTCCACTCTAGAACACGTTTACCCCAACGGTTATCAATTCTTCAACAAATGTGACTTTACTAATCCTTTGGGCTATGTTGATAACTTTGGTTCTCTGTCGGATCACTTAACTTTGTTAGACAAAGTCTCTTATTAGAGTTCAAATACAATAGTACGAACTCATCATGATTCTGCAAAGACCTCTGACCCTTACCTTCACATTGAACTCGTTCATAAACGAGTAAAATGATAAGGCCTAATGCGTCACACACGTACGCACACACATCACTTGTGATTGTAGTGACAATGACATTAAACGTCATGTGTCAAAGTCATATTGCTGTCAAACGGTGACACACATGTCATTATTTTTTTGTTAAAAGAAGTTGGTGTATCTTTTCAATAATATTTTTTATTGAAGTAAGTGATTTCTAGTTTTAATGATGTCATTACTTAAAAATTGGATTACATTTTAAGGGTTTGACTAAAAAATAATAATTATGGAACTCAAATGTTTAATTGTTAATAAATGTAGATTTTTTATACTTCATCATAGATAAATTATAAATTCGATATTAATTTTCTGATTTAACTATAAGGCATTAATTTTTCTTCACTTTATTTTGCCTTTCACTTGGATTCATACATCTCCACAATTTATAAAGAAGGAATGATAATGCTAGAACAATGCTTATAACTATTCCTAATAGAGTAAATACTAATTCTCGTTCGAGGTAGTCTGCCCACGACATGTTGGCTGCAGGTCCACGCAGATGTCTCGCGCCGCCGTGACGCAGTACGTGCTCCGTCCACCACACGGCACGCTCTAGAGGAGATTGCGGCTGGTCATACATCACGCTTCGTAACCTCTCCATGTTTTGACGATAACTGAAAAGTAACAGAAAAAATGGATAAGTGTCTGCCTTGTTAGACGTGATAACAATTTCCTGGGCGGTCTTTTTCTGAATGCAAACAGAAATAATGAATTCTACATAATATTCTTCGACATTAAAGACGAGAAGAATTTAGAAATTTTTACAGATATCTGCTTTATCCGTCCTTTTTTGGTTAACGACCTTATTGTGTGACGTGCTTGTTGAGGTTAAAATTAAGTACCTATTCATAACTTTATGTACTTGTCGGCGCATCGGCGCGGGACGTGGGTATAAAAACCCACGGCCGCGCGAGCGCCGCGCTTCTTCTTCCACACACTCCGCTAACTCACGTCAAAGCCAGTTTTGATTCTGACTTTGTAATAATTGGACCTACTAATTGTGCAGTCTTCTGTCTTAATTTAAAATAACCCGACAGAGCTACGACATACTGATATATTATTCACATTAGTTACATCTTCATTATTACTACTACTATTTGTGCCCACGACTTGGTTCGCGTAGAATAGTGATTCCTAGCTCCTCCCCCATAGGTGATGGTGAGATAATATATAGCCTATTTTATGTTAACCCAACCTGTTAGTAGGTAATATTCATGCTAAATTTGAAGTAAATCCATGTAGTACTTTACATTACTACATATTTTTAGCTTCGATATCGCTTGTAGATCACACTCCAAGCATTCTTTTAAAAAATATTCAATATACAGATTTCACTTTCCTACTTTTTAATGATACATATAGATTAAGATTCGTCTCATCATAATCATCATCATTTTATCAGCAACAAGACGTCCACTGCTGAACACTGGCTTCCCTCCAATGACTTCCAATAGGGGCTAACTTATGTTAGCTCACCAGATGACACAAATGTAAGACGGGGTTTTTGGCCAATTACAACAGTTGTCAAATACTTGACGTCTTATTGTGTAACATTATTAGCTATTCCCTATTGGATTACATCATACGAACTAGCGCCATTATGATATTGAAAAATGTGGTAGGCCTCATTAGGCCGGTTCGAAGCAAGCTGCATCCAACGGCTGCCTGCCACCTGAACTAGGTCATCCGTTGTCTACCTTGTGGGTAGACTTGTCCTGTGCTACACTTGAAGATACGAGATTTGTCTCGAATTTATTAACAAAATAGTCTAATTGCTTGATGAAAAACAAATCTTGCTGTCTCTTTACCAATTATTTTAATGTAACAAATAACAATTTGAGAACCAATAATATAACTTCACGCTTCTTATCCCCGAAGGGGTAGGCAGAGGTGCACATTATGGCACTCAATGCCACTGTGCAATGTCACACACACCTTTCACCATTTGTGTTATGAGTACATGTGTAATTGAGGGTGAGTGTTATGAGTCCCTGTATAATAGGGGGTGAGCCTATTGCCATACATTAGGCACATTCCCAGATTTCGTACTACTAGTGAAAAATCCAGTAATCCTTACACGACCTGGAAATCGAATCCGAGACCCATTGCCCGGCAGTCGAACCAATGAGATTAACTTCAATTATGATAGATTACTTTTACATACCTTTTATTACTAAGAACAGTATTGATAGCTTTCTTGAAAATGTCTTCAGTTAAAGTAGAAAAATCAACTTTAATACCAATTCCATGGTGTTCATATTTCTCTGTGTTGTACCATTGGTCTCCTATAAATGGAACCCCCAATAGAGGTACTCCTGCAGTTATAGCCTCGTCCGTTGATTGTAGACCTCCTTGTGTTACAAATAACTTGATTTTTGGATGCCCTGGAAATATATTCAATGAAATTAAAGCTTTCCTAAAATAAAAGTCTAAGCATTTTATTACAATTAAGTTTAGGACACACTTTCGAGAAGTCAAGAGAGAATCATCTTGAATCATTCAGAATTATCGGTTCATTAGTGAGCTGGCTTATCGTTCCAAACTAGAACATAATACTGTTGTTATAAATCTCATTATCGTAAACTAAAATTCAATTTACGATAAGTAAACTACAGATATACTTAGTTTAACTACGGATTTTTTTGTTAACATTTTGATGGATTGAAGACATGCGATATAATTTTGAAAAAAAACATATATGTAATTTTAATACATCACTCAGTACTATTTATTAGAAAGACGAATTAAAGATATTAAATATAGCGAAAAGGTTAAAATTAAACAACCACAAATTAGGTCTAACTACACAAAAAGTTATTCTAAACAACTAACAAAATTCACTCAACACACAAAACAGTTGACAACTTAACGGTGTTCATTTAATTAATTAGAACACATTTGGTTTAAAAGCCTTACTAGATTCTAATTAATTTGAGAAACGAAAATAATCCCAAAGGTTTGACTGCACGGTTGGCGCGGTGGCTGGGCAACTGGCTGCCGTGCAACGTGTCGCGGGTTCGATTCCCGCACGGAACAACTCTTTGTGTGATCCACAGATTGTTGTTCCGGGTCTGGGTGTCATGTGTATGTGAACTTGTATGTTTGTAAACGCACCCACGACACAGGAGAAAATCCTAGTGTGGGGCAACGTTTTAAAAAAAAAAAAAATAGGTTTGTGAACTATTTTTGTTTGAGCTACAACTTACTGAGCAAATCAGACTGTGGCAGCCATTTTGATATCCTGATATTTTTAGAGCGTCCTGGCAATTCGTCCTTGTCCCACTTCCATAGAACATCGTAAGGCAGCTGAGAGAACACTTTGGCTATTATTTTGATTTTGTCCTGAGGTAGCAGTGAAGGCTGGACGTTTGTGCCAAAGCTGATGTATATTACACCGTTCTTTGATGAGTCTAAATACGTTTTAAGGTCCTGTAACAGAAGTCAATGTCCTTTCAATGATAGTATAACACTTGTCACTTTGAATGAAATGTATTTAAGACTTACCGTAGGTAGTTCTTTCACTGGTTTCTGATGCAGTCCACCCATATAAATAACACTAGGAGGCACTGGACGATTCCCTTCCCAAAGAGGATGTATATTCAAGAACAACATTTGAACATTATCTTTCAATTCACTGATAGTCTTGGTATTAGGTCCAAACAACCTCTTACCCATCACATTTTCTGCTTCTTCTACTTCTTCTATAGCTTTTTCTATTCGAAAAATATTGTAGAGTTCCAACAGTTTCTCCCAAGTTGTCATATTGTACAAACGTTGTCGCATGTGATTTGGATATAAGAACAAGTGCATTGCAGATCCCATCGTTTCTACGTTGAAGTTCATCGGACCAAAAGAGGACACCTGGATCACTGGAGCATCCACTACTTGTGATAGTACCAACGCGATTTTTACGCGAGCGTTGTTATTTTGAGCGTGCCAATGATTCGTACGCAGACTATCGACGAGCCACAGTCATTTGATGGAAAACTCTTGACATGATAAATCTGTTCTTGTTCTCCAAAATAAATGTATTGGTTAGTAGAATTTGTTAGAAATAATTTAACAATTATAATGACGCTGTAATAGTTGGGTATAATCTAATCACAATCGGGAAAACACATGCTGTCTTTTATAGGTGTTGATATAAAATTGTTAAGAAAACTATCATTTTTAATACTTCCAAAAAGGTTTTGTCTTTTTTTTCTAAAACGTTGCCCACACTAGGATTTGCGTTTACAAACATACAAGTTCACATAAACATCACACGAAGAATTGCTCTGTACGGTAATTGAACTCCGAACCTGAGATCATTAGCAAATCACAGCAAATTTGTTATTGCTATTCATTTGTTATTAAGACGCAATTATCATTAAGATATAAAAATAAATTTGATCGTACATATTAGATTACTATTGGCTAGCTATTGCCCATGACATCGTCCGCGTAGAATATGACTCGTATTTCATCCCATGGGCGCACGTAAAAGGGATGAAAAGTATTCTATCATCTAAGTCAACCATGCCCGTATACCAAATTTCATAAAAATCAGTGTCGAGATTGACAAGGACACATCCGAACATCAAAACAAAGAAACTTTCACATATAATATTAGTGTGATTGTCGCTATGACGGAAATCACTATAAATATTGTATATTATTAAGATAAAGATATACTGATTAGTAACGATAATTATACTTTCTAACTATAGTTATACTTTCTAACTATAGACCACTCCTATACAATAGACTAAATGCAACATTGTGGATTTACCCCCATAGCCTCCGTAACTGTAAGAAAATTCTAAATGAAGCCCTTCAAGACATGTCCTATGAAGATACAGGTAGGTTATTATTAGTTCCTAAATAATCCTTATAGTAAGCTCCTAATCTCTTGTTTATTTACTACATATTATTACATTACATACATATTAAGCATAGAATTTAAGTATTACTTTATATCAATATTCCTAAATATAACTAAATATTGTCATTATTTACCTTAACCTGTTATCATTTTAGTACTTATGATTATAATATAACAATGTTTATTACCTTCACCTAACCTCGCCTGAAATACAGGATGTCCTAGTTCAGGCACCTAATATTGTGAACCTTATATAGCTTTAAGCAAAACTGTATATTTCTAGACTATTATCTTTGAAAATAAATTTTATTTATTTATTATAGTTACAATCTACAATGATAATTATAGTTATCTATATATATAAAAATGAAACCCGTTCCCCGTTGCCACGCCATAACTTGAGATCGGCTAGACCGATTTGGCTGATTTTTTTTTGTTGTGTTTGTTATTGTCAGGAGAAGGTTCTTAAGACAGAAAATATTCTGAAAATCCTACGGGAACGGGAGAAAACGGGATTGCGCGTACGAAGTCGCGGGCTAAAGCTAGTTGATTATAATTACCGACTACCGCGTTAGTCCAGCTTGCGACTGCCAGTCAAGCAAACGTTCGAATTAGTTTCCAGGGCAGAGCAATCATTATTTTACATTTTAACCGCCTTAAAAATGAATGAATAACCTGATCACTTGCGTTGTATTTCTTCGTGTGAGATAAGTTACCGGAGACCCAATTACCCACTTCCCCAATCTCTCCAATCTCCGAATCAATTATAATTCCTATGTCCTCAAAATCCTAATTCTCAAAAGGCCGGTAACGAACTTGTAACACCTCTGTTGTTTCGAGTGTCCGGGCGGCGTCGATTGCTTACCATCATGTAATATGTGAGCTCGTTTACAATATTGTATAAAAAAATAAGGAAAATTATATTCAAGTATAGTTAGTCACGTAGGTATACTCACCATACGGAAGATACTACTTGATATTCATTACGATGATTGTGTATGCAATCAAAACATGGATCACATGTCATGACCATATATTATGTTTACGTAACTCGCCAGATAAAACCATTCAATATATATATTAAAACAAAATCTACCTACACGCATTCATTCACATGTATATAATTATGTTTTATTCGCTGTTACCCGCGATTTCATCCGCGTGAAATAGTGACTCCTGTATAATATACATGTCCGTCAAATGATTCCGTCAACAATTTATACACGGTCACATTATTCTTATTTCTTGTTAATTTATACTTTTTTGACGCGACATCGTGTTGATTGGCGAGGCGTATCTGAGAGCTAGTATGAAACGGAACATTTATTTAGACAATAAGATGACGACTGCGGTTTGTCTGTAAGTGTCATTTAAAATTAACTAGCTTCTGCCCGCGACTTCGTACGCGCAATTCCAATATTTCCCGTACCCGTTCTTGATTTTCGGTTAAAAGTAAAAAATAAGTATTGGGTAAAAAGTATCCTATGTCCGTCTCCTGGTTCTAAGCTACATCCTCACCAATTTTCATCCAAATCGATATAGCCGTTCTTGAGTTATAAATAGTGTAACTAACACGACTTTCTTTTATATATATGCCTCAGAAACAAAATAATCTCAGTAATCCGAATTTTGCGGATATAATATGTTGTCGACTCGAAATCGATGTTTTTTTTATGTTTTGTTATTCTAGTAATGTTTTGATCGAGCCTACCGTACCCCTTGACGAAATTATTAATATATATTACCTGTTGCCTGCGACTTCGTCCGCATATAATATGATTCCTGTGTTATCCCATATAACCATTCGAGATAAAAAGTTTTAAGCAATCGTCGTCGCCCATTAAACACCTGGAATAAGTGCGTTACAGGCCTTTTCCTTTAGGGATAAGGAATTTGAGGATTCAGGGGTTAAAGAGTTTGGGTAAAGGGTGGGGGGACAATTGAACCTCCTTCTGGTAACCTCACTCATACGACGAAACACAACGCAAGTGTTGTTTCACTTCGCTTGTTTACTCGGCCGTGGTATCACTCCTGTTGAGCCGGCCCATCTCTCCCACACTTAACAATTATATTTTGTTATTGACTCAAAAATTGACAATATTGCAACAGAATTTTAAACATTCAATGTATAAAGTTGAAGTTTAACTCGTCGAGTACCGGTTTTGCAGACACAATTATAGAACAATAGGTTGCGGTCACCGGTGACCGCTTGGTATTTGACAGTTTAATTTTTATAACGGTCTAAGTTAAGTAAAGTAAAATTATTGATGAAGTCTGCAGAAGAAGACACAAAATTAAATGTTATCCCAATGCATTTAGTATAAGGGCAGGAAGAAGAAGAGTGAACGATGTAACGAGAGTATAATAATGCTATTTACCAAATTAAATACAAACTCATTACATTTACTGTTTTATTTATCACAGCTCATATTGGTCTCCTTTGTATCAATTGGTATTAAAACAAAATAAATAAAAAAATATCACATTTCAATAATGACTGCTTAAAGTTCCTAATTCTTCTTTAACTTTTTACTTGGGCTTATGGTGTTACTGAAATACTTCCATATACTGTACATCAGGTAGAATAATACTAAAGTCACGCCTAGAAGTACAGCTAATACAGTAAACACTAATTCTAGTTCGAGGTAGTCTGCCCACGACATGTTGGCTGCAGGTCCACGCAGATGTCTCGCGCCGCCGTGACGCAGCACGTGCTCCGTCCACCACACGGCGCGCTCTAGAGGAGGTTGAGGCTGGTCGTGCATCACACTGCGTAATTTTTTGATATTCTGGCGAAAACTGCAATAGGAGAAAATAAATATAGTATTGATTGATTGGAGGTTTCTTTTTGTTTTTTTTTTAAGTCGGAAAATCATCGAATGACTGCTCTCGCCTGGGTGAGGCGGGAGGGAGTGTCAGACTCTTACTAACTAAAAACCACCCCGATCCTTCTCCTGCACGTCGAGCCGGAGCCCCGGTTACCCGTTAGGTTCTCCGCGACTGATTTGGAGGCTTGGGGATTAGGTAATGAAAGGAGTTAGTTGTCATAGTTGACTAATTGTGATTTACTAGTTCTTGTAACACTTTAAAAACGACAGCACTGTTGGTGCAGTGGCTGGACAACTGGCTGTCGAGCAACGTGGCGTGAGTTCAATTCCCGCACGGAGCAACTCTTTGTGTGATCCTTAGATTGTTGTTCCAGGTCTGTGTATCATGGGTACCTATGTGAACTTGTATGTTTGTAGACGCGACTACAACCCAGGAGAAAATACTAGTGTGGAGCAACGTTTAAAACAAAGGAATAAAGTAAGAAAAGCATAAATTTTAAAAACGTACTGGAAATTTAAGTATTGTAACATCAAACTTATTTTAACTACTTGCTAACATATTTGTCCCTGTAACGGATGAGAATACCAAGATCAAAAACGGAACCAATAATAAAATTCAAATGAGGAGTAGGAATCCAAAACATAACATCATGTCTTTTATACCCGAAGTGGTTAGCAGAGGTGCACGTTAGCGCAAATAATGCCCTGTACAATGTAACACCCACTTTTCACTCTTTATGTTATGAGTCCCATGTAATAGGGGGTGAGCCTATTGCCCTATACCGAGCACAGTACAGATGCCTAATTTTTATTTTAATATCCGTCTGGTATATTATTTTAAATCATTAGACACGTCGTCGTTTTTATTTACTTACAGAAACGAATACTTTCGACGATATATTGATTTGAAATGTCGCATGACGTCACTTCTATGTACATTTTATACGTAGAAATGACTTTTAGCCCCCACTCCTAATCTTTGACTCGTTTTATCTAAGTGTTGTTTTATTATACGACAAAATAAAAAATACGTTTCTAATATTTTTTCATTACCTAACTTACGAACTAATTCGATTTTTAATTGTCATACCCCGTCATCATCCTATTCGTGCTACCACTTTTAAAAATAATAATAATAATAATAATAATTATTAGTTCCATCAGAATGGAGTTTGGAGTAGACAAGTGTGCGGTCATGCATGTAAAGCGAGGAGGGATTGTGGAATCTGAGGGTCTAGAACTCTCAGATTTCACAAAGCTGAGATCACTCTCCGCAAACGATACATACAAGTACCTGGGTATGTCAGAAGGATTAGGCATTAATGGACCGGACATGAAGCAATCGTTACAGGAGCGCTTCTTTGGCCG